GATGGATAGAATATTTTGATTGAACACTAAGGGTTAACTCATTTCTATAGTGAAATAGGCTAGAGTAAGGGTGCCTCAGGGAGTAAATAAGGACCTGCCTCTTGCCACATAACATATGAAGGGGATTATTTACATGTATGAAGAATTCAGTGTTTCACAAAGATTACCCACCATAGAGTTCCCTTAAGTAACAGCTCTCCATTGTATGTTTGAATTGCAGTTTTTGATTGAAAAATAACTTTCATAACATCAGATATAAAATAGATCCACCAGTGTCTTTTGAAGGTAGACTGAGAAGGGGACTCTTTCAGTTAATGGGTACAAGGAAACAATCTTTAAAGGGACTAAGGACCTTGACTGAAATCTTATTTGTCTTAAAAACAAAACAAAACAACTGTACTGTCTGCTCAATTTATCTGTAAACCAAAAACTTTTCGAAAAAATGTCTATTAATTTAAAAAATGCTCAGAATGAAAGGGTAATACAAAGGTGAGCAGGCACTACTGATTCAGAAGAGAAATAATTATTTTCCCAAGTAAGAAACCCAGTATGTAAAAAAAGATAGTAGCAAGAGTTGGTGAAGATGTGAAGAGATCAGAACCCCCCGTACACTGCCGGAGAGGTGGTAAAATGGTGTGGCTCCTTTGGAAGACAGTTGGGCAGTTCCTCAAAAGCAAAGCATACAATTGCCATATCATCCTTTCAGTGGCATTCACAGTAATGAGAAGGCAGAAACAACCCAGATGTCCATCAGCTGATGAATGGATAAACAAATAGTGGTATATCCATGCAGTGGAGTATTATACAGCCATAAAGAGGTATGAAGTACTGCTATATGCTATGACATGGATTAACCTTGAAAACATAAATGCAAGAAGTCAGACACAAAAAGCCACATAGTATATGATTCCAGTTAAATATCCAGAATAGGAAAATCCGTAATGATAGAAAGTAAATTAGTGGTTGCCTATGGCTATGGGGTGGGGGTGGGAATGGGGAGGGACTGCTAATGGGTATCAAATTTTATTTTGGGATAAAAATGTTCTAAAATTAGATTATGGTGATGGTTGAACAACTCTGTAAGTATACTAAGAAACATTAAATTGTATGCTTTAAATAGGTGATCTTTATAACATGTAAGGTTATATCTCAATCAAGTCTTTAAAGCCCAACATATGGTTTAGCTTGGTTGGGATGGCTAGTGAGGGATTTCAGTGGAGCTAGTCGGTAACAAAATATAGTTGATTCATATTAACTCCAGATGATTACACGGATATTTTCCTTTGGAAAAAGCAAATCCTTCATGTTCCCAGCAAACTGAAGATCAAGTAACTGACATTTCTGATCAGGAAGCCCCAGGTTTGAAGGGATAAGATAATGATCAAAATCTGTAGGCTCTGTGATAAAAAAACTTTCATTTTTTTTTTTTTAATTTGAGAGGCCACAGCATGAGATAACTCAATGATAATAATAATAGCTAACACTTATATAGCTTTATTATGTGCCAGAGACTATTATAAGTGTATTGTGTTTATAAAACTCTGTTTACATTCTTCAGCCACCCTATAAGGTAGGCACTGTTCTTATTTTTCCAATGAAAAACTGAGGTACAGAAAGGTAAAATACTTTTGTTTCTAGGGAATGGCAGAGCTAGGATTCTGACCTAGGCAGTCTAGCTCATGAGCCGATGCTTGTAATCACTATGCCAGAGGTGTACTGACTCAGGCTTGTCCAGGGTCACTTAAAGTTTATGGCAGGTGAGCAGTAAAGAATATTGATTTCATTAATTTCCCTATCTTTATAGCACCCTGGGGGAAAGAAGGTCAATAGTTGTTGTGGTTGGTCACTCTTTGACACTTAGCTGTAATACTGGACTGAAATTATTTTCCTGGAGACATGCGACTGCAAATGTAGAATTTTTCTCTTATTCTCCACTTTCTACTGCTTTCCCTTTCTTGCCTTTCTTCTCCGTGACCTCACTCATCACTAGCCCGCCACACACAGATGAACTTGTTCTTGTTCTGTGTTTTACTATTTTTGAAGAACTTGGAAGTATCAATACAGATGCCACTAGTTTGAAAATGAATAATGTGGACGTGGGGCTAATCTTCTCACCCTCTCTCATCCAGGCAAAGAAGCGTGTTGTTAGGCTAATAAACAAATTTATGGGAGGAATGACTAAACTACTATGAACCTGATTGTACATTTTTTCTATTTGTTATATTAACCAAAGAACTTATATACATATATGCATAACGCATGGACACAGACAATAGTGTGGTGAAAGCCCAAGAGTGGGGGGGGGGTTCAGGGTGGAGGGGATCAACGGGGAAAAGGGGGATATCTGTAATACTTTCAATAATAAAGATAAATTTTTAAAAATTCATGGGATTAAGAAAAAAGTATATAAGAGATAATATTTTTGTTAGCCTAGTTCAGCCAGAATATTACATGTAAGTTAGGGTAATACTATTGCTTTTTTAAAAACATATATCTTCAGCCTGGCCGGTGTGGCTCAGTGGATTCAATGACATCCCATGCACCAAGAGGTCACTGGTTCCATTCCGGGTCAGGGCACATGCCCATTTTGTGGGCTTGATCCCCAGTAGGGGGCGTGCATGAGGCAGCCGATCAATGACTCTCTCATCATTGATGTTTCTATTTCTCCCTTTCTCTCTCTAAAATCAATAAAAACATACTAAAAAACACATATATCTTAATATCTTCTCAGAATGGCTACTCTGTATTAATCTTAATTCCTAAGGTTTCCCTAAAGGATATTTCTTTTCTTTACTCAGTGTGACAGCATAAAAATTCAGTTTTATTTGGGGCTGTGCCTGATTATAAACATTCATTGTGCATCCTTGTCCCCTTTATTTAGTAAATAAAAACAATATTACACATTGTGTAAGACTACTAAGGGACCTGGTAATCTTAAAGTAGTAGTTGAAATTTCGGATTATGAGTCTGTTTTTCACATTTGAAATAATCTGTAGCCATTCAGCTGTAATTTCTTGGTTTAGTTTTCTCACTTTTTAAACCACCCTGGAGATGACATGACACCAGTTTGCTTTTCTGTAGGAAGTGCTTTAGTATTTGTTAAATGGCCCAGTGGGCAAATCTGCAAAAATATGAGTGATAAAAGCACAATGAACAGTTTTGTAAGACAGCGTGGCATTTTACTGGGCCAATGACTGTGTTATCTCAGTGTGTTTATCAGCTTTTTAGTGCCTAATGTCAACACAATTGAGACAACTGGAACTGATGTGGATTTATTATAGTAAATGGGAAATATGATTCGATCACAGGAGTATTGGGTGACATACAGCAAATAAAAAGAAACCTAAAGAAATAAAAGAGACCCCCCCCCCC